TTGTAGTACAGTACTTACCATTATGACTTCTATTGTCTTTTTATATGTTTGTTGTGGAGAATATATTATTCACTATAAAGTTGTCACAAGAAATTATGTGTGGTAGAAAGTATTTGTTATAGGAAAATAGATTGTAAATCAGCTCAACAGAGGCCTTTTTTGGTTGGTTTTTAAAAAAAAATTTTTTTAGTTGTAGATGGGCCTTTATTTTATTTATTTATTTTTCTGTGATGCTGGGGATCGAACCCAGTGCCTCACACGTGCTAGGCAAATGCTTTACCACTGAGCTACAGCCCCAACCCCATCAATAGAGGCTTTTAATGTATAATTTCACTAATACACAAGTGGCATGAATTCACTTGTTAGTTTTGGCTTTCTTCCTATGAAGCTGTTAGAGAAAATAAACTTGATTCCAACAGGTTCTATGCTAACATTGATGTGGCACTTATTCCCTTGACACACCTCTTTTTTTCTTTTGTAATACTGTGAATTAAACCCAGGGGCACTCCACCACTGAGCTTACATCCCTGGCCCTTTCTTTTTGTCATACTGGGAACTGAACCCAGGGCATTGTGCATGCTAGGCAAATGCGTTAAAATTGAGCTACTTCGTATTTTTTATTGTTAGACAGAGTCTTGGTTAAATTGCTGATGCTGGCCTCTAACTTTCGATTCTCCTGCCTCAGACTCCTGAGTCGCTAGGATTATAGGTATGCACCAGTGTCTAGCTCAGCTTTTTAATTTAATTTTATTTTTTTTTAGTTCTTGAAGGGATTTTATTTACTTATATGTGGTGCTGAGAATCGAACCCTATGCCTCACACATACTAGGCAAGCCCTCTACCGCTGAGCCACAACCCCAGCCACTAAACTTTTTTCTTAAGGGTCTTAAGTTTCTTGTTTTGCCTTCTTCACTTCAATTACTAAAATAATCCATATTTTCTTTGTTCATAATCTTGTCTCAATAAAAATTGAATCCTAAATGACTTTTTTTGAGGGGCAGAGAGTACTGGGGATTGAACCCAGGAGCACTTTACCACAGAACTACATTCTAAGCCCTTTTTTATTTTGAAATAGGGTCTTGCTAAGTTGCTTAGAGCTTTGCCAAATTGCTGAGGCTGGCCTCAAATTTTTGATCCTCCTGCTTTAACCTCCCACGTTGCTGGAGTACAACACCACACCTAGCATGACTAGCTATTTTGATTACAAAAAGTCTTATTGCAGAGATTAATACTCCCATGCCTTAGAAATGTAGTAAATTTTGTTCTTTTCCCTATTAAAAAAAAGTATACCCTTTCCCTGACACGGATGCTGCCTATAGCATTTATTTCTGTAATTTCACATTTGGTTGTAAAGCTTGTTTCAATGACTTCCCTATCCCTGCATCAATACCGCACTTATAAATATATTTATAAATGCAAATGTTGTAGTTTTATATATTCTAAAATATGGTTATCCTCCAATCATAATTGTTTTTAAAGTTTATTATTCTTGTGAATTTACTTTTCCAACTCTTTCAATTCAGCTGTACAAGTTCTTTTAAAAAGCCATAGTAAGCTGGGTGTGGTACACACACCTGTAATCCCAGTGACTTGGGAGGCTGAGACAGGAGGATTGCAAGCTTGAGGCCAACCTTGGCAATTTAGCAAGGCCCTAATTCAACAAGACCCTGTGTCAAAATTAAAAAGGGCTGAGGATGTAGCTCAGTGGTAAAGTGCCCCTGGGTTCAATCCCCAGCACCCCACCCTCACCCAAAAAAGCCCTACTGAGAATTTTAGTAGAAAAATATAGGCGGCACAGTCATCCGTACAATATTCAGTATTCCCAATCCAATACTGTTTACTTTATTAGTCATATTCTCCTCTTTTATAAAAAAAAAATCAGTACTGAGGATTGAACCCAGGGCCTTGTATGAGCTAAGTAAGCCTCTACCACTTAGTTATTTCCCATCTTTTTGTTTCTATTTATGACAGTGGAATGCATTACAATTCTTATTACACATATAGAGCACAATTTTTCATCTCTGGTTGTATACAAAGTATATTCACACCAATTCGTGTCTTCATACATGCACTTTGGATAATGATGTCCATCACATTCCACCATGATTTATAACCCCATGTCCCCTCCCTTCCCCTCCAACCCCTCTGCCCTATCTGGAGTTCATCTATTCCTCTCATGCTCCCTCTCCCTATCCCACTATGAATCAGAGAAAAAACTCAGCATTTTTTTGGGGGGATAGGCTAACTTCATTTAGCATTATCTTCTCCAACACCATCCATTTACCTGCAAATGCCATGATTTTATTCTATTTTATTGCTGAGTAATATCCCATTGTGTATATATGGCACATTTTTTTATCCATTCATCTACTGAAGGGCATCTAGGTTGGTTCCACAGTTTAGCTATTTTGAATTGTGCTGCTATAAACATTGATGTGGCTGTGTCCGTGTAGTATGCTATTTTTAAGTCCTTTGGGTATAGACCAAGGAGAGGGATAGCTGGGTCAAATGGTGGTTTTATTCCCAATTTTCCAAGAAATCTCCATACTGCTTTCCATACTGGCTGCACCAATTTGCAGTTACACCAGCAATGTATGAGTGTGCCTTTTCCCCCACATCCTCACCAACACTTATTGTTGTTTGTCTTCATAATAGCTTCCATTCTCACTGGAGTGAGATGAAATCTTAGAGTGGTTTTGATTTGCATTTCTCTAATTGCTAGTGATGATAAATGTTTTTTCATATTTTGTCGACTGATTGTATATCATCTTCTGAGAAGTGTCTATTCAGGTCCTTGGCCCACTTATTAATTGGGTTATTTGTGTGTGTGTGTGTGTTTTTTTTTTTTTTTTGGTGTTTTAACTTTTTGAGTTCTTTATATACCCTAGAGATTAGTGCTTTATCTGATGTGTGAGGGGTAAAGATTTTCCCAAGATGAAGGCTTTCTATTCACCTCACAGATTGTTTCTTTTGCTAAGAAACTTTTTAGTTTGATTCTGTCCCATTTTTTGATTCTTGAGTTTAATTCTTGTGCCAAAGGAGTCTTGTTAAGGAAGTCAGGGCCTAATCCCACATGATGGAGATTAGGGCCTACTTTTTCTTCTATTAGACACAGGTCTCTGGTTTTATTCCTAAATCCTTGATCCATTTTGAGTTTTGTGCATGGTGAGAGGTAGGGGTTTAATTTCATTTTGTTGCATATGGATTTCCAGTTTTCTCAGCACCATTTGTTGAAGAGGCCATCTTTTCTCCAATTCATGTTTTTGGCACCTTTGTCTAATACAAAATAATTGTAATTTTGTGGGCTAGTCTCTGTGTCCTCTATTCTGTATCATTGGTCTACCAGTCTGTTTTGGTGCCAACCCCATGCTGTTTTTGTTACTATTGCTCTGTACTATAGTTTAAGGTCTGGTATAGTGATGCCACCTGCTTCACTCTTCCTGCTAAGCATTGCTTTAGCTATTCTGGGTCTCTTATTTTTCCAGATGAATTTCATGATTGCTTTTTCTATTTCTATGAGTAATATCATTGGGATTTTGATCAGAATTGCATTAAATCTGTATAGTGCTTTTGGATGTATGGTCATTACAGAACCCTAAAGAAGTCAAAGACCTTAGAAGATGGAAAGATCTACCTTGCTCTTGGATAGGCAGAATTAATATTATCAAAATGACTATTTCCCACCTTTTAAAAAAATTGTTTTTAGACAAGGCCTTGCTAGCTGAGGCCGACCTTAAATTTATGATTCTCCTGCCTCAGCCTCCTGAATTGCTGGGATTACAGAAGGGCACCACCATGCCCAGTAGAGTGGTCATTTTAAAATAACCTGTCTCATGAGTACCAATTGGTTAAGGATATCTGCTTTATCTTTGGTAATTTTAAAAAAATATAACAGGGCATGTAGTTCAATGAAAAACACCTGCCTACCATGCATGAAGCCCTGAGCTCCATTCCCAGCACCATACACACACAAATATGTATTCTAGAAAAGCATCCATTTAATTGGAAGCATCATCATTTCAAGCTTTTCTAGAAAAGACTCCATAAATTTTGAGTAGTTATTTGTACACTTATTAAAAATTTTTTTCTCTGCAAAAAACAAGTGTGCACACATATACTATCTCTGGAGGTTACATAGGAGTAAAATAAAGAGTTTTCCAGGTCAGCCTGGGAGTCATATGGATAATATCACAGGCTAAACTGTCTTCACAGCCCTTATTTCTGGTAGGCTAACTGTACAACTTATTTTTAGAGTCGTACATAGCACTCTTACAAAAAAGATGACTGACTACTGTGTTGAGCACAGACTGCAGTGGGACAAGCACAGAAACAGGGAGGAGTCAGGGTAGTTCATGTGAAAGTCACTGGTGGTTTTTACTATGGTGGTAAACAATGGAAGTGATGAGAACTGGTCAGATTTGAAAACATACTGAAGGTAGAGCCAAGAGGATTTACATATGCAACGTACCTTCATCAGGAACACTGCCTTACAGGTAGATTTTTGACCAGGTACATCTTTTGCTGAGAATCACTGTACTGACTTCAAATTCTGTGACAATAAGGTCCATTGTTTTCCTATCTGTATATACTTATTAAGCTAAGCCCAGTGTTTTGCAAAGTTGTTAAAATTCATGTGGACGTTTGAAATTAATTACAAGAGATTTCTGGTTTCAGTCTGACACAAGATTAATTATTTTGGGTCTTATCTTATTCCAGAATTTCTGATATACAGTGTTTACAAAATTCAAGAGGACCCAACACAGTGGTGCATGCCTGTAATCCCAGCTACTTAGGAGGCTAAGGCAGGAACATAACAAGTTCAAGGCCAGCCTCAGCAACTCAGTGAGACCCTGTCTCAAAATAAAAAGGGGTGGAGATGTAGCTCAGAGGTAGAGCACTTACCCAACATGCATGAGGCCCTGGGTTCAATCCCCAGTACTGTAAAACCAACGCTACCCCCCAATCTCCTCCCCCCAAAAAACACACGGGGACATTAGATATAAAATTGCTAAATTTAAAATCTTGTTTTATTTAAATGTGTTCCTTATGATACAGCACAACCTTTCAAAGTCAATCAAGCATTGTAACATTAATAATGTTTCTTCAAAACTCATTAACAAATCACAGCCTACTACCCCACAGCTTCAAAAATTCGTCAAGGCAACTTCAATGTCCAAAAGAGCACAATATGACAGACTGTGGCATTAAATCTCATCTCAATGTAGATTTAAGAAAAGCAAACTAAAGCATATTATCAGACTACCAATTTTTTTTTTTTTTTTTTGGTGGTGCTGGGGATTGAACCAAGGACCCTGCACATGCTAGGCAAGCACTCTTACCACTGAACCACATCCCCAGCTCGAGGTACTTTTATTTAATATGCCTACTTCTCAACACTGGGGAGTTTTAAAAAAACAGAATCTCTTATGAAGCAAAATCATAAATAAATAAAAATTTAAAAGCACAGTACCAGGAAGAATACAGGGACGTGGAAAACGTGTTAAAAATTAAAAGGACTCACCTTTTGCTTTTTTACCTTTTAATCTCTTGCAAAGTCCAAAGATTACTAAGATTAGAATCTATTTCATAATCATACCAATTAAGTAGTTAAGAAACAAACAGGGCAGGGGGTACAGCTCAGAGGTAAAGCACTTGCCTCATGAGACCCTAGGTTAGATCCCCAGCAGTGCAACCTATCAACCAACAAACCCCCTCCAAATGTAAAGACTGGAAAGATCTTTGTTAGTTATCTAGAATCATTTGGCCTAACATTATTTCCAATGAGTGACTGTTAGGTTTTAAATTTCAAAGATAAAACATAAAATATGGGGCCAAAGGGAGTCGGTGTCTTCCAGTTTTTACTGGTGTAACAGTCCTTCAGCCTGGTGCTACAGAAAAGAATCATAAAAAAGAAAAGGAAAATTTTTATTTCAAACAGATTCCATGGCATGCATGTTACATCAAAGGCTGGATGTGTGGCAAACAGTTTCATTTTAAACCTGCATGGATGTATAAATTATACATTACTTAGGAATGTTTAACTTCTGTTAAAATGTAGATTCAATCCAACACTACACCAATTTTTACATTTATTGTAGATACTATATTAGCTCAGGTTAAATTTTCATCATCAAAAAATGAGAATAACCTTACAGCTACCTACTAAGGTAATGAGCTGTGAAATTAATTCCATAGTATTGCTCTGAAAATATACCCCTAGGTTGTTAAGAGAAATTCCAGCTCCATCCAAATGCATTATTTAACTGGGATTCTTTAGTCATCATCTACGGTTGGCTTGATTGTCACTCCTCTTCTTATTTGACCCCAACCAATTAAACTGAAAAATGAAAATAGAAAAAAATCATGAATATTAACATCCATTTCATTAGCATCACCACACAATTATATGATAGAACTGGTTGGACCTGCCTATCTTCTAAATTCAAATTTGTTCCCACAACCTGCTCCTCAATAAAGAAAGGGCACACTAATTTCTTAGAATCAGGTAAGATCTGGCTAGCATGATAGGAAAAGCAAACAAAAATTGCTACCATGAATATACTTGTCTTTACTCTATCAAAATATACCTAACCCTTCAGATCCAACTAAGAGCTCTTTATTCCACTGAAGGAATCAAGCCAATACATAAATCACATCAGTCTGATTATTTTTTACAACCTCATTCTATGCTGTTCCCTTTGAAAAATGCTTTTCTATCACTCAGCACCTCAACAGATCATAATGCATTTAGTGTGACCCTACATGGTAAAGGAAATTTAAGAGAACCAGAGGAACTCAGTCTATAAGCAGATTTTTTTTGTTTTGTTTTGTTTTGGGGGGGGGGGCAGTACTGGGAATTAAACCCAGAGGTGTTTTACCAACCACTGAGCTACATCTCCAGCCCTTTTTATTTTCATTTTGAGACAGGGTCTCATTCAGTTGATTAGGGCCTCACTAAGTTGCTAAGGTTAGCCTTAAATTTGTGATCCTCCTGCCTCAACCTTTGGAGACACGGGTAAACTGATTACTCTTGATAGCAAAGGGACTTCTACATCCTCTTTCAATGTCTGTCCTAGTCAATGACCAGGCTGGTTGTCACCTCAATTGCAGCTTCTTGAACAAAGTCCACCTAAACATGGATAAACCCACAATTCTTAAAAATAAAAGGATCAGCCTGGAGTGCTGACACATGCTTGTAATACCAGTGACTTATAAGCTGAAGCAGGAGGATCCAAGTTCAAAGCCAGCCTTGATGACTTTGAGACCCTGTCTCAAAAAAAGGACTGGGATGTAGCTCAGTGTTAAAGCACTTCTGGGTTCAATCCCCAGTATCAAAATAAATAAAGGATCATTCAGATGCTCTCTTTTTTCTTATTGGGATTTTAATATACTTGCCAATTTTATTTGGATAGAATCCTCTTGTAATATTAGTAGAAAGTCCCAAATATACTCTTTATTTAAAAATATGTTCAAGTTTATGAAATGAAACATTCAACAAGTGATAATAACACAGTTCCATGTTGAGTTTTTTTGTGGTACTAGGGATTAAACCCAGCGCTTTGGGCTTGCCAGGCAAGCACTCTATCACTTAGCTACAACTGCAGCCCTTTTTATTTTATGTACGTTTTTTGTTTGATTAGTATAACCACACAAAAGAATAAAATCAAATAAACACAAAATATGACAAAGCAGAATTATTTTCTTAAAATACAACAAAAACTTTAACTCGTCAAACTTCTGAACAGTAAGTAATAAGAGACCATCAAGGGCCTACTATCAAGCCTTAATTAAAGGAGGTAGATGGGCTGAGGATATAGCTCAGTGGCACAGTGTGTGCCTAGTATGTGCAAGGACCTGGATTCAATCCCCAGTAACCCCCTGCCCTCCTGCACACACACAGAGGAGGTAGGTGGTGAGGATGGAAAAGAGTCAAGGGTGATTAGAATAATTATGGGGAGAGCTGAGGTTGTGGCTCAGTGGTAGAACGCTTGCCTAGCATGTATAAGGCACTGGGTTCAATTCTCAATACACATATAAATAAATAAAAGGTCCATTGACAACTAAAAAAAAAAAATGAACAACAAAATTATGGGGACAGAGCTGAGCGTGTTGGTCCACACCTGTAATCCCAGAAGCTTGGGAGATTAAGGACAGGAGGATCATGACCTCAAAGCCAGCCTCAGCAACTCAGTGAGGCCCTAGGCAACTTAGTGAGACCCTGTCTCTAAATGAAATATAAAAAGGGCTGGGGATGTATCTCAGCGGTTAAGTGGCCTGGTTTTAAAAAGAGAGAGAGATAAAGAAAGGCTGAAGAAGTTCCAGATCAGAGATCAAAGACACACAAAACCTAAATGTAACCCAAGATTCTAGACTGGAGGTCTATAAAGGTTATTATTGGAACAAGTGATAAAACTGGAATATGGGGTATAGATTTTAGTATTTTGTCAATATTAAATTTCTTAAAGTGGTTATGAAAGAGAATATCTTTGTTTTTTGGAAATAGAAATGAAGTTTAATATAATAGATCAAGGAGAATGACATACACAACGTACTTCCCCAATATGTACATTCTTGTATTTTTGTTGTTGTTTGGTGGTGTTTGTTTGGGTACCAGGGATTGAAATCAGGGGCACTCAACCACTGAACCACATCCCCAGCCCTATTTTTATTTAGAGACAGGGTCTCACTGAGTTGCTTAGCACCTCATCTTTGCTGAGGCTGGCTTTGAATGCGTGATCCTCCTGCCGCAGCCTCTGGAGCTGCTAGGATTACAGATGTGCACAGCCATGCCCACCTTTGTTTTGTTTTGTTTTTGGTACCAGGGATCAAACCCAGTGCCTTTCACATGTTAGGCAAGTACTCCACCACCAAGCTACCCACAGCTCTAAAAAGTTATACATATACTGTGGCTGGAATTGTGGCTCAGTGATAGAGCACTTGCCTACCATGTGAGACACTGGGTTTGATTCTCAACACCGCATATAAATAAATAAAAAAAGAAAATTAATTGACAACTATTATATACACATACACACACACATACACACACATATATATACATACACATGTATATATATGTAAATGTGTATGTGCTTGTGTCTGAGAAAGGAGTATACAGGAATTTTCTGTATAATTCTTGTGATTTCCCTGTTTAGTTTTTAAAAAGGCAAAGACAGGCCATGCACAGTGGTACATGCCTGAAATTCCAGTGGCTCAGGAGGCTGAGGCAAGAGGATCACAGATCACGCGTTTAAAGCCAGCTTCAGCAATTAGTGAGATCCTAAGAAACTCAGAGACCCTATCTCTAAATAAAAATATAGAAAAGGGCTGGGGATGTGGCTCAGTGGTAAAGTGCTCCTGGGTTCAATCCCTGGTACCAATAAATAAATAAATAGCCACAGACTAGGGGTAAAACTCAGTAGAAGGCAGGCTTAATATGCACAAGTCCCTGGGTCCATTCTCCGGCACCAAAAATAAATAATAACAATAACAATAACAATAATAATAAAAAACAACAATGGAATTATTGACTCTAAATTCACTGGTGTTTGCATAGGGAAGACAACTGTAGTATCTGGACTAAAATATGGGACTACAAATGGAGGCTACAAATAGTTTTCAAAGTCATCAAAACAAATAGTTAAGAGCTAAAGCTACACTAACTATTGTGTTCAAAGAATGTGCATCTGTGTTTACACCACCATGAACTTAAGGAAACTGATCCTTACATTGGCAAAGGCTAATAAACTTACCGCCAGTGTTTCTCAACTCTTCGACTAAGGGCAATCTTTTCTCCTACTTCTGTGCACACAGGATTAGTCAAAACAATTTTGCCCAAATCAGCCTTGACAGCACTAACTCTCCCTCCTGTTGACAGTGATCCTATGTTCACCATGAGCACTTCATTCTTAGACAGTTTTTGGACCTATGGAAACAAATTAGGGAAGAACAAATCCCAAAATCAAAAACATGCTTTCCAAGAATGAGTGGGGACTTACCAAATATTTTTGGAATTAAGATAATTATAACCCCACAATTATGTATGACTACAGTGTACCAGGAAAACATGTGGGACAAGACAATTATAAAAGAAAAAAAATTCTACAGAAATTTCATTATAATGAAATGTGAACTATAATATACTCTAAAGATAACAAACTAGTTGATTTAGCACATGCTGATTTCACACAAAATCTACTTTAAAAAAATAAGCTAGTAGCTACAGCATAAAACCTCCTAAAATTCTGAAGAACTTCTATACAGAATGAAATTGTGTACCCTTTACTGGGAATGACTAGAAATACAAGCGTTCTGGATGTTTTTGGAGTCTAAAATATTTGCCTACACATAATAAGCTTATCTTGGGGATGGGACACAAGTCTAAATACAAAATTCAATTGATTTATATAAACCTTATACACACAGCTTAAAAGAAATTTTATACAATATTTTTAGTGCACCTATGTTCTGACTATGACTTATCACATAAGGTTAGGTGTGGAATTTTCCACTTGTGGCATCTTCCACTTATGGTATCATGTTGGTGCCTAAAAAAGTTTTGGACTTTGGACCTCAGATTTTTAAATTAAGGATAAACAACCTATAGTAGAGATACAAAATTTCCTAAGTGGGGCAAGGCAGGAAAATGGCTATGTAAGAGTTAATATCATGTGCATGTATGAGTATATAACAAACCCAATTATTATGTACAACTATAATGCACCAATAAAAAATTATTCCAGAAGAAGAGTTAATAAGATGATTCTGGAGATCCAATTCAACTCATGTGTCTAAGCCAGCAACTGAACTCTCTGAGCCTCTTTAAAATTTGCTACCACCTACCACACATGGTTGTTTCCCCAGTACCTCCCCTTTCCTGCCCCTTCTCCCTCCCCCATCTCTTTCCTGTATTCTACTAATCTCCTTTCGATTTTCATGAGATCTCCCCTCAACCTTTCTTTTCTTTTTTCTACAAATTCTTACTGAAACACAAGGATATTAGGAATATAATGTCTATGTCATACATGACACAAATTCTTTTCCCTACTTTCTCTCTCTTTTTTTTAACCTTAGGCTGATTGCCATATAGTTGTTCTTGATTTTCAAGAAATCAAAATAATTTACCTTATTTCTATGTTAACTAAAAACTGGGTTTAACATCATGGCCACTTTTTTGGAAAAAGAAATTACAAAGAGCACTTGCCTTTGCTGCTTTCTTGTCTCCTTCAGTGCGTACACCTAGAAGTCGTCTAAGCAGGAAATAGGAAATTTCCAATTCTGTGAAAATCTCAGGTAAAGCTCCAACAGCACCAAGTACCTGCCCCACCATTCTGTCAGCACGGCACAAAGTGGGGTCGATTTTTGTTCCAACTCCTAATGTAAAAAAATATGGACATAACCGTGAAACACTTATAAAGTAAATTATTTGCCCAAAACTTAGTCAAACAAGCGTAGTATATTTCTTTTTTGGGGGGGGTAACAGGGACTGAATTCAGGGGCACTTGACTACTGAGCCACATTCCCAGCCCTATTTTGTATTTTATTTAGAGACAGGGTCTGATTAAGTTGCTTTGCACCTCCCCGTTGCTGAGGTTGGCTTTGAACTTGCAATCCTCCTGTCTCAGCCTCACAGGCCACTGGGATTACCGGCACGTATCACCGCGCCCAGCTAAGCATGGTGTACTTCTACACATATTAATACACACTTGTATTTTAATGCCCATATAACAGCTACATAGAAATAACAAAATACCTGTTTCATCTGAGGAAAGAGAATTGACCCACAGGTCCTTTGGGCAACTGAGAACAGAAAAATTCTCTTTGTTAAATTCTAAACAAAAGGCAAATAGAGATAATAACCTGATACAAATTGAGTTTGAATATCCTTACTGAAATTTGAAAAGATATAAATTGAGCCAGGCACAGTGACACGCCTGAAATTCCAGTTAACTCAGGAGACTGAGGCAGAAAGATATTGAGTTTAAGGCCAGCCTCAGCTACTTAGTGAGACCCTGCCTCAAAATAAAAAATCAAAAGATATATATGGGGATATACCTCAGAGGTAGAACATACCCTTTGGTTCAATCCCCAGGATTAGGGGAAAAAAAAAAAAGAAAAAAATCAGTAATTTGCAGAATATTCGCATGCCATTTCCTGGAAGGTTGATCAAAAAGCTAGCTTAGTTAGGTGCGGTGGCCCAAGCCTGTAATCACAGAGGCTCAGGAGGCTGAGATAGGAGGATCGAAGGTTCAAAGACAGCTCCAGCAATTTAGTGAGGCTATAAACTGAATGGCTGCTACATAAAGATTATCATTACAATATTCTACTTTCTATTGTTAAGTTTGAAGAGTTCCATAAATTACATTCTTTTTTCTTTTAAACCAGGGACTGAAACACAGGGGCACTTTACCACTGAGGTACATTTTCAGTCTTTTATTTTGAGACAAGGTCTCACTAAATTGCTGAGACTGGTTGAACTTGTGATCCTCTTGCTTCAGCCTCCCTAATATCTGAGATTACAGGCATATGCCACCACAGCTGGTACCATAAATTACATTATAAAAAAATGTTTCCAAGCTGGGCACCGCGGCACATGCCTATAATCCCAGCATCTTGGGAGGCTGAAGCAGGAGAATTTCAAGTTCAAAGCCAGCCTCAGAAATTCGGCAAGGTCCTAAGCAACTCAGTGAGACCATATCTGAAAAAAGTTTCCAGAATTTCCTTCTCCACAAAAGGTAAAACTTTATGCAATAATCTCAATTACAGGATATAATAGAAAAATGAACTATATAGTAAAAAACCAGAGCACCAATTTGGTGAAAAATAAACTGCTTTTTCACCCAATGTTTTCTTCTTTAATCCAAAGATATGATAATAGCCCTAATATTTGCTGAATCTTCACTTTTTTCCCTGGCACTGGGGAGAGAACCCAGGGGCACTCTACCATTGAGCTATCAGACCTTTGCCAGCCTCATCAACCTAGCAAACTTAGTGAGAAGTGAGACCCTATCTCAAAAAACAAGGGGCTATAGTTGTGGATCAGCGGTAGAGTGCTCGCTAAGCACATTTGAGGCCCTGGGTTCTATCTTCAGCAATACATAAAAATAAATAAAGATACTGTATTTAACAACTAAAAAATATTAAAAAAAAAAAAAAGGACAGAATATAGTTCAGTGGTAAAGCTCCCCTGAGATCAATCCCCATTATCCCCCCACTAAAAAAAAAAAAAAAAACCTCCAAAACCCCCACAACTTTGAGTAATTTCCTACACAGGGAAAGTTACTTTTTTAAAAAAAAAAAGACATGGTCTCACTACATTGCCCACCCTGGCCTTGAACCCCTTGCTCAAGTGATCATTCAACTTCAGTCACCTAAGTACCTAGGACTACAGGTGCACGCAGTCACACCCACTTAGAGGTTATCTTCTTTTATTCCCACATCAATGTAAATATTGTTATTATTTTTTGGTAGCTGGACAAAATACCTTTATTATTTTATTTATTTATTTTTATGTGGTTTTGAGAATAGAATCCAGAGCCTCACATGTGCCAGGTGAGCACTCTACCACTGAGCCACAACCCCAGCCCAGTGTAAACATTATTTGACTGACATCTTTGAGTAACTTTCCATTTGCAAAACACACACAAAAAGTAACCACTCTCAAGTTGGGCATGGGCATGTTTATAATTCCAGCTATTCAGGAGACTAAGGCAGGAGGATCATAAGTTCAAGGCCAGCCTCAACAACTTAGTGAGACCCTGACTCAAAATAAAATATAAAGAGGGCTGGGCATATAGTTCAGTGGGAGAGCACTTACCTAGCAAATGCAAAGCGCTGAACTCAAACCCACATAGGTATGCACACTGACATAAAACCACCAAAAACAAAAAAATAAAACCCAACCACTCTCTCTCACCATGCCCCTACAAAAAAAGTATAAGCTAGGTACTGTTGTGACATGTGCCTTCAGTTCCAGCTACTCATGAGGCTAAGGCAGGAGGACTACTTGAATCCAGGAGTTCAAGGTTAACATGGGCAGTACAACAAGGTCCTGTGCTCAAAAAATTAAAAAATCAACAGGCCAGGGATATAGACAGTGAGTGATAAAATGCCCCTAGGTTCAATAAAAAAACAAACAAAAAACCACTACAATATAGCTTTATGAGTAATCTATTTCCCATGAAAAGTATCATGAATATCTACAAATTAAAAGAAAAGGGATGAGAGGTTGAAATCCTTACCAATAAGACCCCCTGGAGCAGCATACTGAAGATCATTATGTTCGGCAAAAAGTGATACAATTTTGGAAAAGATTGGTTTACACATGAGTTTTCCTTCACTGTCTTTGGAAACAATACCAGGTCTGACTTCTATCTCCTGGCCCACCTGTAAATATATAATCAGTAATAAAAATTACTATGAATTAACACAATTATCATTTATCTATCTAAAGTTCTAACAGTAAGACCATGAAACCAAAACGGCAAACCTTCCTCTATTTCAAAGATCACCATTTTAATAAAAGGAAAAATAAATGTGAAAGAGACCTTCAAAATCAGAACCACTCATGTTACTACCTACCACACAAACCCATCACCACATAAAACGTGCTTCATACTTACAAGAAGCCTATAAATTTAGGTTAAGACACATTACAAAGACATAAAAGCAAACAAATTTATATCAAATAACGAACACCATAAACCATTTTATTCAACTTGGATTATTAATCCTTTTTCTTAAGACAGGGTGAAACAAAAACAATAACAACTCAAGCCTACCTTACCTTTAATACTCCTTTCAGAATACTTCCACCAGCAACACCTCCCTTAAGGTCATCAACTTCACAACCAGGCTTGTTGACATCAAATGACCTAATAACTAAAAGAAAACAAATTAAAGCTATTTCTATTAATTTAAACTTTATAAGAAATATTCTTTTCCATGTTAACTTTTCAAAAATAGAATACCATTTAAGCTATTAAAAAAAAAAAAGTTTGTTGGTGCACGCCTGTAGTCCCAACAGCTCCAGAGGATGAGGCAGGAGGATCCCAAGTTCAAAGCCAGCCTCAACAACTTAGTGTGGTCCTGTCTCAAATAACAAAACAGGGGCTGGGGATGTGGTGCAGTGGTTAGGCTCCCCTGGATTCAATCCCTGGTACTAAATAAATAAATAAGAATATTGGAGGCTGGTCATGGCGGCACATGCCTATAATTCCAGCAACTTGGGAGGCTGAGGCAGGAGGATATTGAATTCAAGGCCAGCCTCAGCAACTCAGCAAGACCCTGACTCAATGTTAAAAAAAAAAAAAAAAAAATCTAAGGATATCTCCAGTAATGTATTGGACTAAATGCATACTTTTAACTTGTGTCTACTTGCACTGAGAATACTTATTAGCTCTGAATTCCTCTATCTTCTATTCCAGGTGAAACTCAGCTGGCTAATTTTCAGGTGTGTTGCTCATGTTTTAATAACTGAATGAAAAAGGGTACTTCTGCTGAAGTACCTAAGTATTGGATGCTATTTTGTGGGGGCATCATCATCTGTATTTTGTGTTATATAAGAGGTAGATATACTAGTCTTCATTTCTAGGAAATTTCTAAGTGTAATTTTAATATACCCTCATGCTATAATTTTTATGACTAGCAATGTGAATTTTGTATAACAGCCCATCATTATGATTTGTTCTCACAAAGGAAGATAGAAGCTAAGGCCAGTCTTTTAATTAATTTCTCTTAGATCAAAATAAATTTTTTAAAAATTAAAGATCGGGGGGGAAAAGAAAAAAGAGGTATAAGTTGGCTCTTCATATCTGAGAGTTCCATGTCTGTGAATTTCAACCATCTACAGTTCAAAAAATGTTTTGTTTTTATTTATTTACTGGGGTGGGGAAAGTATTGGGGATTGAACCTAGGGCCTTTACCACTGAATTATATCCCAAGCCCTTTTTATTTTTTTCAAAGTAAACCTTGAACTTTTGATCCTCCTGCCTCAGCCTCCTGAGTTGCTGGGATTTCAGGTATATGCCACCATGCTTGGCAGATTTAAAAAAAAAAAAAATATCAAGAGTCTGTAATGAATACATAGTTTTTTTTTTTTTTGGGGGGGAGGGTGTCATTATTCCCTGAACAATACTATTTATACCTCATTTATAATATATTAGATACTACAAGTAACCTAGACATGCTTTTAAGTATCCTGGAGGGGTTAGGGTTACAGCTCAGTGGTACAATGCTTGCCTAACATATATGAAGCCCTAGGTTTGATCCCAGCACTACAAAAAATATAGAGGACAATGTGGGTGGATTATATGCAAATTCTATGTCATTTTATATAAGGAATTTCTGTATTATGTGACTTCTGCAAAACTACAAAACAACTCTAGGACTACATGACCTATACGGTCACTCGAGCACTTTTCCTGCCAAACAACACAGGAACCCAAAATGAAGACCTAAAGAGGCTCAAATGTCTATTTTGAAACAGCTCCTATATTTCTTCGTAGGAACCACAAACTTAGATGATCAAATTACACCAAGATTAGTTTTTCGTTAATGGTACAGTGACATCATTTGTATGGAAAATATAAAAACATTATAATTCCATGTTGGTCACATAACATACCATAAACTGAGTATCAAAAAGGTTAACAGTGTGGTTGGGTTGTGTCTCAGCAGTAGAGTGCTCACCTAGCACGTGCGAGGCCCTGGGTTCGATCCTCAGCACCACATAAAAATAAATTATTGTGGGGGCTGGGGTTGTGGCTCAGCAGTAGAGCATGCGCCTAGCATGGGTAAGGCCCTGGGTTTGATCCTCAGCACTACATGAATGAATGAATGAAGAAAGACAGAAAGAAAGAAAGAAAGAAAGAAAGGTATTGTGTCCAACTACAACTGAAAAATAAATATTTAAAAATAAATAAAAAAAGGTTAACAGTTTCTATAGCACTCAGGATTCTGTTCCTCATACAGTAATTCAATCTAACATTGCCAACACTATCTCAGAATTAATCAATTTCAAAAAAACTTTTATCCCTCTGTAGAAAGAGGAAATATTAATAAACACTTATAAAGGTGAATCACTAATGGAAAAGACCAAAATAAGAGATAAAGATTGGTTGGACATAGTGGAACATGCCTGTTGTCTCAGCTACTTGGCAGGCTGAGGCAGGAGGATCACAAATTTGCAGCCAGCCTTGGAAACTTAGTGAGACTGTCTCAAAATAAAGTAAGGGCTGAGGATGTTGCTCAATAGTAGAGGGTTTACCTAGCATGCTCCAGGCCCTGAGTAGAATCCTCAGTGAGAGAGAGAGACAAACACACATATACACACAGTTAAAGATGACTCCTATCACTTACCAATAAGTCGGGGTTCTGAAGTAAAGTCTCTTGGGGGTACTGGTATTTTCTTTACTATGTACTCACAAACGACTTCAATATTGTATTTCAGCTGAGCAGAAATTGGAATAATGGGAGCTCCTTCTGCTACTGTACCTATATGGCAAAATTAAGAAAGATCAAAATTCTTCAGTTTTAATAAACTTGTTCTATGCATCTATTACATAAAACAAGATTACTAAAATAGAAGCCTAACAAACCCACACAAATGCCAGCAATAAGTAGAAAGCAATAATTCTGTTTGGAAAGATGATAAAATATTTCACCATTGTTTTAACTACTGAAAAGGAATACTATTTCCTTTACTAACACTCCTGGGAAAGAGTACTTGTTGAAAAGATTTCTAATAACATGTTATTAACTTCCTAATAAATGTTAAGATAAAATTACAGACTCTGCTAATCAAAGACTGCTGGCATATATAATATTTGCTCCTTATTAATTATACGTCTAAAAAACTGGTCAAAGAAATAGACCAAACATAATCAGATTTTAATCAAAATGACTTCTTTTTCATGGTGACAGAACTGGGTTGGTAGGAAGCTAATCTTTCTAATAAGAAAACCAAGATTCTAAGAGAGAATCAAATGTGAATAATGAGATGCATCATGTCTTCCTTGAAATAAAAAATATTATGCTGCTAGAGAAAGGGACACTTTATTCATTCTACTATCACTAAGCCCCCGCCCATGCCAGGGATTAAATCCATGGCCTTATGCACGCTCTACCACTGAACTATACCCTCAGCCTTGAGGACTTTTTCTAAAAATCTGATGAAAGATTCTAGAATATAACTTCATTTCTAACTTTCAGCCAACAAAAATATATTTTAGCATATCAAATTCAAAAACACATACATTGCTAGTTACATCAAGTTGCTAACAAATACTAGTACAGAAATTAAGGCTTCAGACCCTGAAATTTACCTTGTTTTAGGTAAGTGTCCTTTATTCAAAATTAATATCTAGTGGCTGGATTAAATGTCTCAAAATGATTCTTGGTTTTATTAGATATTATGGCTTCTTACCTTGTACAAATGCAAGGATTTGTTCATACTGTTCTTTAGCCTGACTTTCTTTTACCAAATCAATTTTATTCTGTAGAATCAAAATATGCTTCAGTTTCATGATTTCTATAGCAGCTAGGTGTTCAGAAGTCTGAGGCTGGGGACAAGATTCATTACCAGCTAGTTGATGAAGAATAAAAAAGATGTATAAGTATAGTTAGAAACATCCAGACCAGGCAAATTCAGAGACAGAATGCATATTATTGGTTGCTGGGGGCTGGGGAGAAAGGGGATTGGGAAGTGACTGCTTAATGAGCATGGAGTTTCCATTTGTGGAGAAAATGTTCTGGAACTAGATAATAGTACTGCTACAATCACTACATTATACAACACTGTAAAAGTACTTAATGCCATTTAATTTTATACTTTAAATGGCTAAAATGATAAATTTTGTTATGTGATTACTTTATCACCACCTACCGGGAAAAAAAGCAGCACTGGCATCCAATAAAGGAAACGTTAGAATATTCTAGCCTTACTCAAGGCAAAAGTCCTGAATATTGTTGCCAAGTATCAATATACTTCTAACATAAATTTTAAGCTAAAATAATAAACCACCTTATGTGACCTAGATGGGGAAAACACACTATTGACCTTTATTCTTTTGGATACTATGATAAGAATTCACAGAAACTATTAGCCCCAGGTCTATTTTGATTAGTCTTTTGTAATAGCTTTCTAGGTAGGAATGTCATCCTGGATGATGTTAGTTCTCATTCATATTACCCTTAGGCAATGGCTATGGCCCTTAGAGGCTTTAGTTCCTCTTTAAATATTCCACCTTGGATTTGTTCCACATTGACTGGTGCAAACAAATTCTGATGTATTTACCTATCAAAAGAAGAGCTGCATCCATCACTGCTGCACCATTCAGCATAGTAGCCATCAAAATATCATGGCCAGGACAGTCAACAAAGGAAACATGTCTAACAATTGAGAAATGACAGTTTTCAGATCAATGAATACTTACAAATACAAATTGTAGATTTCTTTAAAGTTAAATCACTTAGGAAATATTTTTTGCTGTTGTTTTTGATGGTACTGGCAATTAAACCTGGAGTGCTCTACCACTGAACTACACCCCCAGCTCTTTTTTGTTTTAAGATAAGGTATCACTAAGTTGCTGAGGCTGGCTGCAAACCTGTAATCCTCCTACCTCAGCCTCTTAAGCTATGTGTCACCACACCTGACCTAGGAGAGAATTCTTTTTTTTTTCTTACATATATGACAATAATAAAGAGAATTCTTATTGCTATAAAAATGGTTAGAAAACTTGGTGTTTCTAGACCTTGGAAATAAGATTACTTGCTGAGAATAAAATCACTGCAGATCATTACAAAGCAAATAAAATTAGCTACATGCAGAAATAACTGAAGTGACAAAAAATCCCAAACCCAAAGTGAATATGATATAGAATACTGGTATAAAGTATACACTGGGAATGTCACTCACTGATTTGAAAGCCAAAACCTAATGATGTATAAAAATGGTGTTAATAGAATAAAGACTATTATCTGAACAATTTGAGCTGGGCATGGTGGTACATGCCTGTAATCCCAGCTATTCAGAAGCTTGAGGGAGAAAGATCTCGAGTTTGAGGACAGCTTCAGCAGTTTAGCCTCAAAATAAAAGGGTTAGGAATATAGCTCAGCGGTAAAGTGCCCCTAGGTCTAAAAACAAAAACAAAACAAAACACCACATTAAAGCATTTACACTGATTTCCGAGATTTTTAGCCTACCCTCCACTTCTAAATCTTGGGCCCAGAGTGGCTTCATCCACCTCTCCCTAATCTTAGCCCTGCCCTGATCTAAAATCTCCTTGTGGGGTATCTGCATCCCCCATAGTCATTACCAAACAGACACCAGTGTCCTCTGATAAAGAATTAGAATATGCAATAACATTCAGAAAATAGATGAGGAATAAGTACATGTGTGGTAGAGTAGTACTAAGAATGGCTTTGTTCCTCTATCTTAAAAAGAAAATGTTTAAAAGAAATTTAGAAAGCCCAGAATTGTTTCTTTTTCTTCCATTCTGCTTATGTAATATTTTTAGTTTACAGAACCTTTAATTATTATTATTTTTTTTATTTTATTTATTTTTTTTGGTAGTATCAGCAATTGAATCCAGGGCTTCATGCATACTAGACAAGCACTGTACAACTGGGCTACATCCCTAGCCCCTTTTAAAATATTGGTTCTTTTTAATTATGTATAACATTAGGATTCACTTGACATAATTATAAAAGCACGGAATACAATTTGTTCCAATTCAGTCTCTAGTACTTCTCCCTTTCTTCCCCTCCCTCCCCATTACCTTCCCTCTACTGATCTTTCTGCTATTTACTTAGTTGTTTTCATTTTCTGTTTTTAAATTAGTGCCTTGTGAATACCCAGCCCTTTTTAAAAAATTTTATATTTTAAGGTTGGGGATGTAGCTCAGTGGTACAGTGCTTGCCTAGCACAAATGAGGCCCTAGGTTCCATCCCTAGTACCACTTAAAAAAAAATTATTTGGGACAAGATCTTAGTAAGTTGTCCAGGCTGGAATCAAACTTGTGATCCTCCTGCCTCCGTCTCCCAAGTAGTTGGGATTATAGGCATGTGCCACTGTGTGCTTGGCCAGAAATGCTAAGGTTAGGGTTAGAGTTCAATCCCCGGTACCTCCTCCCCAGAAAAAAAGAAAAGAAAAAGAAAACCATTCAGCAGTTAGGTTCATTATTTAATAACTCAAATGTTTTCTTAAAAAAAGAAAGAAAGAAAGCACAACAGCAGAATAAAAGGTGTAAACTTTTTAACACAAAAGTGGTCACCTGACTAATTTGAAGTTCCCTTTGGTCCCTGGAATATCTGTAGGAAATTCATCCGGTGTGCCACTTCCACATGACCTATAACATTCTGGCCGAGGACAACTTGGGTCATCCAGTTTATAAATCTACAAGTTTCAAGAGAGGAAAAAGAAAATGATTTCAAGTTGTTATCTGCACAATAATTAAAAACAAATAGTTTCTAATTTCATAATATATAGCTCACCTTAGCATTAGCATATCCAAGCTTGATTGTAATGTTTCTTTCTAGTTCATTTTTGAACCTGACAGTGTGAACTCCAGAAATGGCTTTTACAACTGTGGACTTCCCATGAGCTACATGACCAATTGTACCTAGAGACAAAGAATAAAAATTATCTCAAATGAATTCAATTATACCAAGTATTTCTTTCAAATAGTGTTAAGAGAAGAAAACTCAAACCCACAATTCACTATTAATGTCAATGCAAAACCAACGACTTCAATTTTTCTTACTACATATCCTTACCTACTAAACACTTGTTCTGATACAGAACTGAAAACTTTCCATGTAACTAATAATCTTAGCTCAGTGGTAGAATGCTTGCCTAGCATGTGTGAACCATGAGTTCAATCCCAGTACTGAAAAAAATAAAAAATAATACTCAATTAAAAATACTTAATATTTTGTGAAGAAACAGTCCAGCATACTGATGAAGTAAATAAGTATAACAAGTCCAGACATCACAAAAAGGAATTCATGAAAATAAGAAAACAACCTAAGTTTAATTAATGCTGTTAAGGACAGTACATTCTTTATAACTTTTTCATAGCCTCATGGTAGAGTCTTAGGTTTTACTGTGCTATTTGTACAGACTCTAAAAATATCCAAAATTTACATTGTCAGTGTAACTTCTCCTCTAAAGTTCTAGGTGCCAATTAAGGGGGAAAAATAGTCTACTTAATAATAGCTTATGTATCAACTAAATATTTCATAAATTCTGTCCTTTCAATAACCCTGTGTGGCAAGAAGAGCTGTATTTTCATCTCTTTAATTTCTGCCACATATGATTACATATTGCCTCATGCTATTAAACTTTCATATGTCTATATTTTTTCTTCTCAAGTAGTCTGTACACCCAACATGGGCATTTCTTTTCTCTTTGTATTTTATTTTTTCCAGTACTGGGACCAGGGAGTGAACCCAGGGGTATCCTATCACTGAGCTAAATTCCAAATTATTTTAAAATTTTGAGACAGAGTCTCACTGAATTGTCCAGGCTGGCCTCAAACTTGCCAAACTCTTGCCTCAGCCTCACAAGTAGAGTCCCTGGGATTACTGGCCTGTGCCACCAATCCCAGCTTTACATGAGCAGCATTCTTTTTTTTTTTTTTTTTTTTTTTCACTTTGATTCTAGTGGGTTATGAACTCCCACCTTCACCCCATACACAGATTGCAGATTCACATCAATGAGCAGCATTCTTTACCCCCACCATCCACACCAAAATCTAGCAAATACTCAAATGGGGCTTCCCTCCCTCCCCTTTTGGAGACAAGGTCTCACTAAGTTGCCCAGGCTGGCCTCAAACTCCTGAGTTTAAGCAATCCTCCTGCTTCAGCTTCTCAAGTAGCTGGAATTACAGGCGTACCACTGCACCCAGCTCAATCTTTTTTTTTTTTAATTGTTTAGTGGTTGTTGGACAAGATACCTTTATTTATTTATTTTTATGTGGTGCTGAGGATCAAACCCAGGGCCTCCCACGTGCTAGGTGAGCGCTCTACCCCTGAGCCACAACCCCAGCCCTCAATATCTATTCTTAAATATTTAAATCCTCATACTATTCACATAATTACATTAAAAGGAGATATCAAAATTACTTGAAGTCATTTTTATCTTACCTATATTAATTGTGGCTTGTCTGCTGATAACTTCATGTGATAGTGGCGTCAACTTGGTAACATCCTGCAATGAAATACATTTATTTTAAAACATAGTACCTAAGACAAATCAGAATCGTTCCTTTGACTTTACATTCGCTATGTACAGTACAGTTCACTACCATCTTTGGAACTCTTTTCTTTAAAGCGCCTTTCTTGTATAAGTGATATTGTATTCTAATAGTTGGGAAGCCCTAAGAGCCCTTCATTATTTCACAACACAAGCCTCCTTACCTCACTACAGGGAGTCTGAAGGCCGGAGACCCCCAATCTTAGGGCCTTCGCTTGTCCTCAGCGTAGTGAGGGCAATATAGACACCCAGACCATCACAGGTGAGAACCCTAGTGACATCCAATACCAACACTTAGCCAAATCTTTAAGGAACTCGAGGTCCCACGATCGCACAGCCCACTCCCAGCTCACATGGACCCACAGAGTGCAGGCGGGATCGCGGGTTAGGGAGCCCGGCTTCGGGGTTGCCTCCTAAACTCACGCTCCCGACATTCCGGCACTGCCTTGTTTCAACGCCTGCCGGGAGGATCAGTTATCCCCACACCCGAGCTCATTCTCCATCTTCCCTAAGCGAAACCTCACCAAGGTGGCGAGATCCTGCCGAGAAAGGTGCGGCTGCCCCAGAGTCACTCCAGCCTCTCCCCCCGCCATCTTGCCCGGAGAGGAAGGAAGTTGCTCTGGCGGCCGCCTGACAGTACGCAGGTCCCCTTGGGCGGGGCGGGGCGGGGCAGGAAAGCGAAGGCGGGAAGGCCGACTAGGGCCCCGACTTAGAAAAAAAGGATAACAGGTACAGGAGTGGCCTCACTGCCTAGACGTCTCTTGACTGTAATTGCACTTGGCCTACAGAAGGTTTATTTTTAAAACACGATGCAAAGATTCGGGACCTATTCCTTGCAGCAATGTTAGATATTCGTACAGGCAACGCTGAGGGCAGCCCCAAAAGAGGACCCCTGCGAGGCGGGCAATGCAATGTGACATGCGCGCTGGCGTGGGAGAAGCCATTTCCGTTTCCCGTGGGTTGTGCCGAAAGAGTTCCCAGAGCCTGGGAACCTTACGTGGGGTGTGTGAGCGGAAAGAAATTGCCTTTCAAATACATATACATATATATATACATATACATATACATATACATACATATATATCATGTTATATGTATATATGCTTGTTTATTTTAACCATTTCTATATTTTAATGAGATGAAAACGGCTCCGGGTCCTCCCCCGCCCATGACGGGGGCTCTTGGCAGGGAGGACGCCGCGTGCTGAGCTGGCCACGCTCACGTCGCCGCGCCGTCCGTGGCCTGCGTCTGCGAAGGCGCCCTCATGCGAAGATTTTATGAAGGGCTCAGCAGCGAATAGCTTGTTCCCAGGCAGCAGTTTCAAGGGCCACGGAGGCGGTCCTTGGTGACGCCAGACTCTGTTCACAGTGAATTTAGCATCACATAGAAGCTAGGTGTCTTGAGATTGTCCAGACGGTGTGTGTCTTTTTAAAAACAGAGCCAAGAAAACCCACATCTCTAATGGAAGAATTATAGATAAATCGATATTTTTAAATTAAAAGATTTTTGAGACTTCCTTAAGCCCTTTTCCTTAGTGTGTTAAAAAGAAGTGATTTTTGGATCTCTCCTTACGTTTCTATATGAATTGTCTTATAAACAGTTGGTCGTTTCTAACTAGGAAAAAAATGTGAGAAGAGGTGAATAAGAATTTAGGCTATCTACATTGAATACCCAAATAAATATACGATTAATAAGTATTTTATATCTTTTTTGTTTTTGTTTTGTTTTTGTTTTTTGTACTGGGGATTGAACCCAAAGGCATTTTACCACTGAGTCACATCCCCAGCCCCTTATATATATATTTTTTTATTTTGAGACAGAGTCTCCCTAAATTATCTAGGGCCTTGCAAAGTTGCTGAGGCTGGCTTTGAACTTGTGATCCTCCTGCCTCAGCCTCCCAAGCCACTGGGATTACAGGCATGCACCACCCAGCCTGGATGGTGTTTTATATCACATAAATTTTAGGTACTGCAATTTACCTAATATAGGAAGCTATGTGTCAGTAAATGCATTCACTGGATAAGTGATGATGAAAACTACAATATAATGTACTTGGGTGGAGGTGTTTATTGGCTTTAATCTTACATTCTAAATAATTATACCAGACAATTAAGAAAACCCATTGAGGTGATGAAAATGCTCTGGAATCAGACTGTGGTGATGGTTGCACATTCTTTGTGAATATATTAAAAATTAGTGACTTGTACAGTTTAACATGGTGAATCTTAAGATATGTGAGTTATATCTCAAAAAATGCATTGATGCCATATGTGCTGGCCCATAACTATAATCCCATTGACTCCTGAGGCTGAGGCAGAAGATCACAATTCTAAGCCAGCCTGGGCTACTGTCTCAAAAAATATAAAGGGCTGGGGATGTAGCTTAGTGGTAAAGCTCCCATGGGTTCAATCCCCAGTTATGGGGTGGGGGGAGCATTGACAGTAAATAGAGCACATAATATGCTCTATCATCAAAAACTTATTGGGCCAGGTGCCCAGTAAGTGGCCCATGCTAGTAGTCCCAACTACATGGTAGACTGAAACAGTGGATCATTTGAGCCCAGAAGTTTCAGGCCATGTCTCAAAAAAAGTTAACAAATTATTGGCCCCAGTGAAGCATGTTAATTTTATATGAACTTCATGACAGTCCAATGAGGTTTCTAGTATTATTCCCATTTTGCAGGTGAGGAAATTGAGTCCTAGAAAGACTGAATAACACACTGGAGATTGCACAGCTAGTAAATAGTGGAGCTGGGATTGCTGAGTACAATTTCATATTACATTTTGTTGATCTATTCACCAGTTAATAGATATTTCTACTTTTTGGTTATTGTGAATAATGTTGCTAATGAATATTTGTGTACAAGTTTTTATGATAATATGTTTTAATTTCCCTTGGTAAATATCTAGTTGTACAATTGCTGAGTCATGTAGTAAATCTGTATTTGACATTTTGAGACACATTTAAACCATTCTTCAAAATGGCTGTATCATTTAACATTCCCACCAGCAACATATGAGGGCTCCAGTGTCATCATATCCTCAACACTACTTATAATTGTCACCAGGAATGGTGATACATGCCTGTAATCCCAGCAGTTTAGGAGGCTGAGGCAGGAGGATCACAAGTTCAAAGCCAGCCTCAGGGGCTGGGGAAATGGCTCAGTTGACAGAGCACTTACCTTGCATGTAAAAGGCCCTGGGTTCAATCCCAAGCACCACAAAAAAAGAAAAAAAAAACAGACTCAGCATACTTATCAAGGCACTAAACAACTTGTCTCTAAATAAAATAAGAAAAGGGCTGCAGATAGGGCTCAGTGGTTAAGTTCCCCTAGATTCAATACCTGGTACAAAAAAAAAATTTTTTTTCATGATAGCCATTCTAGTAGGTGTGGTTTTAAATTGCATTTCCTTAATGACTAATGAATGTTGAACATCTTTTTTGTTTTTGTTTTTTGCACTGCTAAGAATGAACCCAAGGCTGAGCACATGCTAGGCAAATAAATACTTTCCCACTGAACTGCACCCCCAGCCTGAGCAACTTTTCATAGATTTATTAACCATTCACCATTTATATCTCTTCTTTGGTAAAATGTCTATTCAAGTCTTCTGCCCATTAAAAAATTGAGTTGTTTATCTTTTTTGTGTGTGTGTGCTTAAGATTGTACCCAGTGCCTTCAGCATGCTCAGCACACATTCTACCAGTGAGCTACATACACCCCCATCCCATTTATCTTTTTGTTGAGTTGCAAGAATTCTCTCTATATTCTGGATTCAAATCCTTTATCAGATGTATAATTTGCAAATGTTTTCTCACAGTCTGTACTCTTATTTATTTATTTATTTATTTGCAGTACTGTTGATTGAACCCAGGGGTGCTTAACTACTGAACTACATGCCACAGCCCTTCTTATTTTTCATCTTGAGACAGGGTCTTGCTAAGGTGCTGAGGCTGGCCCTGACCTTGTGATCCTGCTGTTTCAGCCTCCAGGGTCCATGGGATTACAGGCATGCACCACTGGGCCCCACCCTTTTTTTCTTTTTATTTTGAGCTGGTCTCGATGAATTGGCCAGGCTGGCCATAAATTTGTGATCCTCCTGCCTTGGCCTCTCAAGGAGCTGAGATTACAGGTGTGTGCCACCCTACCTAGCTTGTCTTTCCATTTTTTTTTTATTGGTGTCTTTGAAAAACAAAAGATTTTTCTTTAACTTTGATCAAGTCCAATTCATTTTTTCTTTTATGAATCATGCTTTTGGTGTCATATCTTCAGAACGCTTGGCATGGTGAGTGTGGTACTGTACCCCTGTAATCCCAGTTTCTTGGGAGCCTGAGGCAGGAGAATTGAAGGTTTAAGGCCAGCTTCAGTAATTTAATGAGCCCTTAAACAACTTAGGGAGACCCTGCCTCAAAAAACAAAAAAGGGGGCTGGGTTTCTGGCTCAGTGGTAGAGCACTTGCCTAGCATGTGTGAGGCACTGGGTTTGAATCTCAGCACCACATATAAACAAATAAATAAAATAAAGGTCCATTGACAACTAAAAATTTTTTCTTTTAATGAATAAAAAGGGCTGGAGATGTGGCTCAGTGGTTAAGCACCCCTGGGTTCAATCCCTGGTACACCACCACCCTCAAATTAACCATTTTGCCTGCCAGGCATGGTGATGCACACCTGCAACCCCAGTGACTTGGGAGCCTGAGGCAAGAGGATCTCAAGTTTGAGGCCAACCTCAGCAACTTAGTGAGGTCCTATCTCAAAATACAAAACAAAAGACTAGGGAGGTAGCTCAGTGTTAAAGCACCCCTGCCCTGGGTTCAATCTCCAATAACCCCCTCAAAAAAGAATACTCTGCCTAACCCACGATCACAAAGATTTACTCATATGTTTTCTTCTTAAAGGTTTATAGTTTCATGGGCAGGGGTTGTGGTTCAGTGGTAGAGTGCATGCCTAGTATGTGTGAGGCACTGGGTTTGATTCTTAGCACACATAAAAATAAACTAATAGGATAAAGGCATTCTGTCCATCTATAACTACAAAATTTTTAAAAAAATAAAAAAGGTTTATAGTTTCAGGTCTTACATTTAGATCTCTTATCCATTTTGAGTTAATATTTGTGTATGGCTCAAGGTGATGGTTTAATCCATCTCTCTGCATGTGTATATCCAATTTTCCTAGTACTATTTGTTGGGAACTATCTTTTCCCGATTGAATTGTCTTAAAATAAAAAAAATAATTGTCAAAAATAAATTGATCTTAGGCTGGGGCTATAGCTCAGTGGTAGAGCACTTGCCTTGCTTGCATGAGGCACTGGGTTTGATCCTTAGCACCACATAAATAAATAAAATAAAGGTATTTAAAAATAAATAAACAAATTCAAAAAGTTGATCTTGGGGCTTTAGGTGTAGCACAGTGGTAGAGCACTTGCCTGGCATATGCAGGACCCTGAGTTCCATCTTCAGCCCTGCAAATAAACAAACTGACAATAAATAAAAGGGTTTATTCATGGAGTCTCAATTCTATTCCATTGCTCTTTTTTAAATATTTTTTTAAGTTGTAGATGGACATAATACCTTTATTTCATTTATTTTTTAATATGATGTTGAGGATCAAACCCAGTGCCTCAGGCATTCTAGGCAAGTGCTCTATCACTGT